GCCAAACAACACGAGGAATGTTAATGAAACTAACACAGTATTTAATAACTCCCCCCTGCCAGTTTGCCAACACAAACATGAGCAAGGCAGAAGAATGAAAAAAAGTATTCTGGTTCATACATGCCAGTTCTCCTTGAGACATAAAAAAATCTTTCTTATGTGCTGTAATTTTAAGGGAAGTTAATTGTTAATATTATTATTAATAAAAATATCAACCAAGCATCCCAATATTTTTTTTTTTGTTATCACTGGTCTATTCTTGAACTAATTTGCACTTACTCTTCCTCTTGCAGGGCACAATAACTGACCCATCTTTTGATCAAGTATTGGAAGACTCTTGTAGTCTGAACTTGATGTCTGTTCAGAGCACAGACATTTAGTTGAGATAACCCTGGCTGATAACTGGTGCTAGGAGCAGAATTCTACTGAAATTTCCCTGGACTTGTTTTTCTACTGTATTTGGAAAGACACTACTTATAGAATCATCGAATCATAGAATCATTTAGGTTGGAAAAGACCCTGAAGATCATCAAGTCCACCTGTAAACCCAACACTGCCAAGTTCACCCCTATGTCCCTAAGCACCACATCCACACATCTTTTAAATACCTCCAGGGATGGTGACTCAACCACTTCCCTGAGCAGCCTGTTCCAGTGCTTGATAACCCTTTCTGTGAAGAATTTTTTTCCTAATGTCCAATCTAAACCTCCCCTGGCAAAACTTGAGGCCATTTCCTCTTGTCCTATAACTTGTTACTTGGGAAAAGAGACCGACACCCACATCGCTACAACCTCCTTTCTGGTAGTTGTAGAGGGTGGTAAGGTCTCTCCCCTCAGCCTCCTTTTCTCCAGATTAAACACCCCAGTTCCCTCAGCCACTCCTCAAAAGATTTAAGCTCCAGACCCTTCACCAGCTTTGTTGCTTGTCCTTGGATGTGCTCCAGCAACTCAATGTCTGTCTTGTAGTGAGGGGCCCAGGACTGAACACAGTAGTCAACGTACAGCCTCACCAGTGCAAAGTACAGAAAAATAACCACCTCCCTAGTCCTGCTGGCCACACTATTCCTGATACAAGCCAGGATGCCATTGGCCATCTTGGCTACCTGGGCACACTGACGGTTATATTCAGCTGGCTGTTGACCAGCACCCCCAGGTCCTTTTCTGCCAGGCAGATTTCCAGCTTCTCTTCTCCAAGCCTGTAGCATTGCATGGGGCTGTTGTGACCCAAGTGCAGGACCTGACACTTGACCTTGTTGAACCTCATGCAATTGGCCTTGGCCCATTGATCCAGCCTGTCCAGATCCCTCCGTAGAGCCTTCCTATCCTCAAGCAGATCAACACTCCCGCCCAACTTGGTGTTGCCTGCAAATTTACTGAGGGTGCACTCAATCCCTTCATCCAGATCATTGGTAAAGATATTAAACAGAACTGGCCCCAATACATCTTTAAGTGACAAAGAACAACTGCAATTCTGACCCAAGACAGAATTAGCCATTTGACTGCTTTGGGGATGTAATTGAAATTCCAGTGAATTAGAAAGAACTTTTTAATTGATTTCCTTTGGCTTTGAGCTGGACCTTTAATTATTAGAAATGTAGACAGACTTTATGCTCTCTCAGGACTCTCTCTCTCTCCCTTTTTGTGACAAAGAACTAATTTAAAGGCACTAGTCTTTAAGACATGAACTAAGAAATTGATTTTTTCCAGGGTGAATCCAGAAGGAAAAGTTTTCATCTTGTAATTAAGATATAATAAAATACTCACTGATGGATCCTTTGTTGGCTGAATGGAGCAGTATAGCAGTCATTCTCCTCCAGATCTGGCAGTGTCTCCTTGTCCAGTTTCATTGGCTTTCTAGGTAACCATCCTCGAAACCTGCTTATTTGTTTCTCGATCCTGCAGCAGATGAAAAGTGTGAGCATTTGAGATAGTGTTTTTCATTACATTACAGAGCACTTAGAAAGAACATATTCTGGCAAACTAGGCCACTTAATATTTACAACTAGAAAAGATGCAATGTCTTTTGACTTTTTCAAGGCAGACCAAATTACATAGGCTGAACTTGACTATCAATAACCAGCTTTCAGTGGAGGAGCATCTTATTTTCTCTCAACAGAAAAACAATGCTGATGATACATGCTGCTATAAAGCTTATTAAGCCCAGTAAGCTCTTGGCAACTCTCTAAACCTTTATTTCTCAGCTTTTCAGTTAGTTTAGATTTCGGGCTTAATTGACACATTAGACTTAAACATATAAACATTAGAACAGCGGAGACTGTGACAGAGCTTTGGGAGTGAAACCTCAGCAATTTGCATCTCTCTACTGCTCTCCGTATAGATTCTTACCTCGCAATTGATGCTAAAAAAAATAGGCTACTTTTTGTTCATTTGGTTCAGTTGTAATGTCTTGCAATACTACGACCTCCATGAAACCAGAATACTCAGTGTATAGGTTAACAGGTGACCACTACGCAAATTCTTACATTTAGAAGGTGAAAGTAAAGATCAAGCTGGAGAAAGGGCAGATTTAACTTCAAGTGCACTCATGCAAAGATGCACACTGAAGTGAGGGGAAAGGGAAGAATCAGAGCTGATTGGAGAAGATAATCTAAGCCAAATTCAAATCCAAACTAAAATCTTATAATGAAAAACACATCAGAAAGATGAGATATGTCTAGCTCAATGCGCCCTACTCACTCAGAAGTTCCTAACACTTTCAAGTCCTAATCAGTGATCGCTTGTCTGCAACAATCATAGACTACAAATTATGGACTATGCATATACTTCAGTCAGTGGATGAATCTTTCCAGGACTGGAGCTAAAGGGCATGAATCCACATCCTTTGAATTTTAAGTCCAGTTCTGGATTAAGCTCAAGGACTGGAAATGTAGTTGTTTCTTTTCTTTTGACAGAAGTCAGCGCAATAACTCTATGACCAGCAAATGCTTTGAGGTCTGCACAGTCACTCGGAGGGAGGGCAATCCATACCCAAGCAGCTGAGTGTGTGGGAAAGAGACGTGAAATTATTACATACTTTCATTTAAAAAACATATGATATTCCCTGGAATATTCCATCTTCTCCCATCAGGTATGTTTATCTTCGATAAGAAAGTTAAAGCTAATTTTTAAATGTGGGTACATTTTAAAAACTGTAAACAAACTAGCTCTACTTATTTTGGTACCATTTGCGTATTCCAGTTCTGGGAATAGCATGGCAGGGTGTAAATTTACCATCAGGACAGTTTGGAAGAACTGGAGAGTGTATGTGAACATAACATAAGACTTATACTCAGCTAATCATAAACTCTTCATGGGCAGTGTTTGCACTGGCCCAGAAGTTCAGAGTGTGGGAGGAGGTAGTTTTCAAATGTCTCTGCCCGAGTGCAAGTGAGATGGCAGATCCCAATGCTGTCAAGGGCCTCATCAACTGTAATTCTCCAGTTGTAGTATCCAGCCTGACAGCCTTGAGCTAGTCTGTGCAGACGCTGATAGGACTGCAAGGGAAAAGTAAGTTCTCTCCAGGGGGATTCCCTCTCACTTGGTCTCCAGTTTTCCGTCTGTAAAGGCCACAAGCTCTGCATTACTGTATATTCGGCAGGCTTAGTGACATGGGGTATAGAAAAGGGAAAAAGAATCAGGCAGGTTTTCTAAATATCCCATTTCATGCTTATTTTTTGGCTAAAATTGTTCAAATTCTCTAAGCTATTAACACCCTTGCTAATCTGCAATCCTTTCCCACTCATCCTGACAGTCAATGTGCACATTTGAGATACGTGTGAGGCAGGTTTATCACACCATGCATGCATGCACAGCACACACAGAGTGCTTTCCCCACTTAAGAGCAATGCATTATTCATGTTGGCTTCTCACTGAGTGTACCCAGAATTTGACCGGTTTGCCATTCCCAAGGCTCAGATTACTTGGCACGCTCAGTGAGCCCGCTCCTTCCCCTCTGGCAAACAGGTCTGAAAAGGTTGCAAAGCCTTTCTGAAAGGTCCAGAACACACAGTACAGCAAAGCCATCCCTAGGGAAAAAAATCCTAGTTATCTTCTGGGAAAAGAAAAGTGACCAAACTCTTAAATTGTCTTCAGGCCACTCCAACAGTGCCATCAGCCAGCAGTGCAGGCTTCATACTCCACAGGAGCATCTCTCAAAAAAATCTGAGAGTGATGTTGGTGCTAACAAACACAGACACACAGTATTAGAAATCTACTGTGTTTCATTGCTTCTTCAAGGCTAACTCATGCCTCACTTTCCCTTATGGAGAAGCTTATTTACTCAGCTGAATAGGGAAATGGTGTTTGGAAAGCAAACACAAGAACAATAGAGTGCACGGAGTGTTGAGGAAATGTAGAGTTAGCCACAATGAAAGAGCAGAGTGGAAGATCTGATGATAATATCCTTCTTAAATTCCCTCTCTAAAAACACTTGTTAGCCTCACGTGGTAAAAATTAATTGTCTTAATTCACATAGTGTCTCAAAGACAGAGTCTCTTCACTTTAGCCCTGCCCCTTCCCTCCAGGTCTAGTCTTTGGGCATTATCCTCTGTCTGAAGATACATATTGTGCTTAACTCACACAAAGCTTTCTCAATTTCAAAGAAACTGGTTTCTCCCTAGGAAGTGGGGTAGGGATAGGATTGTTTTTTCAAAGTGAAGAGGAAGTTAGGAAAAAAAAATGTTTTGAATCAAGACTTTTTTTTATCTCTGGCTCAGCTTTGATAGAGCTTAATGCATATTGTAGTGCTAGATATTGTCTTAGTTTAGGTTTAACTGCAAAGCAGGTAGAATTCTAAGTACTGTATAGGTACCTGATACCTCTCCTTTTCTCTAGAATTTATGAGGGGAGTTTTGCTATTTGAATTTGGGATCACTAGAATTTTTCAAAGAAAAAATTCAAGTCAGATTGACAAGATGCAAGTGACTTGCTCTGGGCTTTACGTTGTGACAAAAGCCCTCTTTAAAATAAATTTTGGCCAAATGTTAATATAATGTTTGACTTAGCTCAAAAAAAAGATCAAGGCTTCAGTTAATTGTAATCTTCACTGAACTAGGAGGAGAGGAAAGGGATGCTTTTATTGAAGCTGTAGATCTGAGTTTCATATAAATTAAAATAAAGCTGAATATGTTTTCTTTTTTTATACTGGGACTATTCAGTTATAGCTTTTCCACCTCAAATAGCTCTTTATAGACCTGAACATAAAAATTGAATTTAGCCAAGTACTGTCATCACTCAGGAGTTAAAATACCAGAAAAAGATCATACCTCTTCCCATACTGACTTCAAATGGCATCCTGACTCATAAGAAAATGAATGTAAAGCAAAATTTCATACACCACATATGAATGTTAGAATCTTCATCTACTCCTTCCTTTTAATCTATTGCTTTAGTCAAAACAGCCATGCCTTAATTAAAATCAAGACAAGTTCCAAAGTTAACAGGTGCTATAGTAATGTAAGATGGGGATGGAAAGTGGGGAGCATCAACAAGCTTTAGAAGAAATTGTGTGGGTCTACTAGCCTGTGCCAACTAGGTAAAATGTCTGAACTCCACAAAGAGTCCATTTGATCCTTAATAATAAAAATAGCAAATACAATAATGTGAGATCAGTGTTGGTGCTTTCAAGTCACCAGCGCAGTATGATGGAATTTAATACACAAAAATGCTTTTTAATATGCTCATACAGCAGAGTGATAATATGTGATTTATTTTCCCATGGATGTTCATCTACTGACATTAGCTGCAGAGTGATACAGCTATTTACTCCAAAATGCAGATTTTTCAAAGCTAATTCTTCTCTCTCAGGAGTTCATGGGAGTTTTTTCACTGACCTAAGAGTGAGACAGTAAATCAAATGCTAGACCCTTTTGAAAACTCCATCAACAGCACCGTGGCATCAAATACCAACAGTCTTTGCCATGCCTGTATAGATTTTAAGCTTTTTGGAGACATTATCATTAAATTGTCCTAGATATCAAAAAGAAAATGCAAACTGCAGCATTGGAAGTTTTTCACTGCATTAAGTCAGGCATAAAACAGGCATGAAACATAGCCTTGAAGATAATTAATAATTGAGTGAAAGCACTTCAAAGATTCTTGAAAAATACTCATCTCTCAAGCTCAATAACATTACACCAGAGATGAACTTGGTTCATTGCCTTCCTATATGCCAACAAAGTACTAAGCATCCCCACAAAGGAAGCAATAAATAAATAATGCCATTGCTATTACAAGTAAGTAAGGTGCATGGAAATGGAAAAAAAAAATAAATCCCTAACTGTGGTATTTTAACTCCAAGAAACTCCCTAATGAGCTACATGAAAAGAAAGAGATGTCCTAGTGTGTAATCACTCCCTCTACCCTTCCTACAAGCACGAGTAATAAACTTTTCCTTCCAGCTTGACCTTAACCATTATTTTTGTTATTGGATCCAAATGAACATAAACTGGACTGGCATAAGAATTGTACTCACCTATTCATGAACTTGTATCGGCGGTGCAGGTAATAGATTTTTCTCCTGGAAGAACAGCAAAAATGAAGCCAGTCGAGAAGAAAACCCATCGTCAGTTACAGTATGAACTAGCAAGGAAGGAAAGGAGATTGAAGACAGAAGCCTGTAAGAGGTGGAGGAAGAAACTAAAAGAGAGATTAACAGAACTGTCACAGGAAGCCACACAGACTCCGGTGGCGTCTGAACTGAGAGAAGGTCATCGTTTTCCCATTGTCTTCTCTTTTTCTGCTACTTGTCATGTGTGAAAGACAGGGACCCAAAGATGTTTCTATTTCAAAGAAGTCCATAAACTGTTGCAGGAATTTTATAGGCCTGATACAAATACAGTTAAAATTTTCTCACATCCACTAGTGAATTATTAAAACTGCATTTGGTGAAACACAAGGGGAATCGCTTAGAAAAGCCAGGAAAGTGGTACCTGATGCTGCAATATGCCATAACACGTGCAGTACCAACTGGGACTAGTGCTTGCTATTGGGGTAACAACCCTTGAAACAGAATATAGGCTACACAAGCAATGTTCTTGGCACCCTTTCCCCCCTCCACCCATCCCCCCCAATATGCAGCCACTCCCCTCTGCCCCTCCTACAGGCACGGCTGATTTCTGCTGTCAGTGCAATAATTGTGGGGAACCAGTGAGCATACAAGGGTGCACGAGCAGATACATGCTGACCCCTTCCCCCCCCCCCCCCACCCCCCCCAATATGCAGCCACTCCCCTCTGCCCCTCCTACAGGCACGGCTGATTTCTGCTGTCAGTGCAATAATTGTGGGGAACCAGTGAGCATACAAGGGTGCACGAGCAGATACATGCTGACCACACTCTTGGCCTGCTTCCTGACCAGCCCTGTAGGGCTCACGTCGCTTGGGGCGGGCAGGCAGAGCAGTCCCCTAACCATCCTGTGTAGATCCAGAACGGGGAGTCCACCTTCTGTCCCACTCTGCTGCTGGTAGCTCTCCTTCTCCTCATACATGCCTGTAACACCAGTGCTGTCAGGATTTGATCCATTCTCTTCAGCAGAAAGAACGTATCATCAAGAAAGATAAGAAAATCTGAGGGCTTTTAGGTGTAGGTTTCGGGCTGATATTCCTTACTGGAAGATTTGGGTGCCTCCCTGAACTCCAGTTTCCTCCTCCAGAGGCTGACTTTGCCATCCGCTGGAGGTCATTGTTAACTCAAGGTGGTTTCTGTATATTCTGTGAGCTTCCATGGTGTCATGCTGAACTGTAACACTTCTGGAAAATGAAGAGCTCACACCACACTTTTCATTCTGAATATTTTTATATATTAAATGTACTGTAAGAATCCTGTTAGTGCCTTGGAATCAAGCATGGTTGGGACCATTCTAAAATATGACAGCACCGATCCTTTATAAACTATAGAAAAAAACTGATTAGAATTCCAGGTTAATTTTCAGAACTTAGAATTTAAATAAAACGTAATATTTTTACATTATTTTTGTTATCAGTGTCCATATTGTACTGGTGAAGTGAAATTTTCAAAGTGTTTTCATGTTGGCCAGCCTCCTTTGGCCAAGTCCTCCACAAAATAGTGTTATTTATCATGCCCTACTCAGCAGGCGCAGATAAGGGTCAAAGCTAAGTGTTTCTGAAGATGCCATCCACTTTTTGATTTTGCTTCAGATTTTCAGAGGTATCCACTGTTTTGGCACCCCTGCTCTGAAACAGCAAGGATTTTATTCACTGATGTGTGGACTTTGGACAGTTCCAACCTAAAATATCGGGAGCTGTAAGCAATCTGCAGCTCTTAAAACAAGGGGTCAGACAAGGGCACCTGGGAACAGGCAGTCTAGACTAGGGGAAATTTTGTAAAATGTTGGTTCTTGTTTTTAAGTGGTAAACAGTACTGTTGCTCGTAGAACAAAATTTAAGAGCCTACCCAGCAGACATTAGTAAATCAACATGATTTCCTCTTAACAATACTGTAATAATTCTCTCCCTGTGGATGTGGAAAGAATGAAGCCGTGATCGTGAAGAAGGTCAAGAAACCTTTAGTATTTTTGGTGCTTTCTATACAATCTCTATGGCATCTATTCTGCTATCTGCTGAGAGATAGATTTCAAAAAAGGGACTTCAGATCAGGAAAGAACAAGCTGCTCACAGCGACTAAAATCTGAGTTCCTGGTGTATTTCTCAATCACGAGACCTTATCCTCCTACAGGGGCAGGCTCATCTCAAAGAACGCCACAGAAGTCAAAGGAGGTATGCTTTTGGCCCAGCCTATTCTTTCTATGGCTAGAACACTTTTTGAAAAGAATATTAATGCCTTGCAATGACTTGTGATAGCTTTTATATTTTTCTCTTTATCACTAAGAACATGAGAAAGAACAGTTGAAGATTTGCTGTGAAAATGAAAACCAAAATACGTACAGAATAAGCCTGCAATTTTGTCCTTAATTCCCATCCATTTTTCCTAGCAAGTTCTGCTACAGTTTGTCTCATATCAGAGGCATTTTTCATCCTTAAGTAAGAAGAAAACAGGAATAGAAATCCTGCACAGGACACTAACTCACTAGTTGCATATTCTGGATCTGATCCTTTTCTTGCTCAGGAGTAATTCCATTAAAATCAATGGAGCTATGCATCTATAAACCCTGCTAATTGAAAGAAGGATGAAGACCTCTCAGTTCATTGGTTTTGGTCAGTTCCAGTGGAAGTCTTTGTGCTATTTTAACAGTTCTGATAACCAGCAGAGTAAAATCAATATTTTACATAGAAAATTTCATAGCCCAACATGCAAATAATATTAAATAAATGATAAAAAATGTCTGAATGACAGTGTGGAATGAATTTGGTTATCAGTAGCATTTTATGTAAGTTCTTTATATTCTCCACAGAAAAAAGCATTTCTAGTCTGAATTGTTCTCCTATTAGAAGGGATACTTATTTATAATCTGCATTTCCATAATCACACACTATATAAACAATTTACAGGTGCTGAACATACCAGATACGCCCAATAGACATGCACTTTCTGTGCTGCCTTACGTACCTGGATCTTCTTGACCTCCCATTGATTTCAATGAAATGTCCATTTAAAAAACAGCAGCGCACAAGTATGCAGGGGGCTCCAGCATTGAAGGGGTTAAAGGGCCTAAGGACAGAACACCCCATGAAAACAGCTGCACTGCTACAGCTCACCTTAATTTCAAACCAGTATTGTACTGAAATTGCAGGCATTAACAAGAAACAGCAATGAACACGGTATCTAAGGTACTCTGTTTATATTTTCTGAAGATGTGTGGTCTCTTATAGAAGAGCTTTTCCAAGTGCACTTTGGTGTTATTATTACATTAGCTTTACAGTATAGTGTGACTTTGGAGGTGAGACAAAATACAACTACACCTACCTGAAAGGCATTCTTACATTCATTAGTTCAGCATATTTGCCCAGGACCTCCCAAGGGGCATGCAACTTCACAAAGATGATGTCGCTGTTTGTTAGAGATGACTGCAAAAGAAAAACAAAACAGCCACCAGGGCTTACTTTTCCAAGTAAAAAAGAAAGCAACTGTGATCAGTGGTCAACATGTATTTTTCTGGTCTTGTGCCACCTCTCCCTCTTCCTGATTCTTCCTCAATCACATGTAGGTCTACCGGTATTTTGTCAATTTATTTTCCTTCTGTTTTCCTGAAGGGCATGCTGTACCTCCCTTCTGGCCTGCGCATGTGTTTCCTTCACATGGAAAGGGGTACATGGAGGGGAGGCTGATGTGCAGTTGTGGGTTACCCAAGTGTGGGAATAAGAATGGTGGGTAAATCTGGGTTTGGAAGCTCGGTCCTGAACTTCAGCTAAAAGCAAAATGGCAAGTCGGGATCAGATTCTGCCAACTGACTGGGTTTTCAGCACTCACACAGAAGTGCAGATGTGTGAAGTCGCATCTGGCAATCAAGAAAAGTTTGTATGACAGTGTGGTCTCATGGACAAATAACAAAGTCCCAGCTGCAGAACCATGGTCTCCAGCTTCCCTTCTTCCAGCTTCACTCTTGGCCACGTGAATTCCGAACATTAGAACTGAAGCCAGCAGGAAAAAGGAAATCTGATGCTTCCCATAGCATAGTATTGAACAGATTTGTTGCCCAGGAAGGTCGATGGCTATGCCTATGCCAGCAAGATCTCTTTGCAGTGCTCCTGTCTTCTTTTCTATGGGTTGTATGTAATGTGGAGAGAGTTTTACATAAGATATTAGCACCAGGACAGCTGTAACCTAACAGAAGGCTGTCTGGTGAAGAACTGACAATATGCGGTAAAGAGGACAAAGGGAGAATTTTAGCTCTGTTTGCACGCAGGAGGAGAATAGTATTTTACAAGAAAGCTACAGCAGGGTCAGCTGAAGCTGACATGAGAACACAGGGAGCATCATGTTAATACTGGAAGATGAATTTTTCATATGCTAATGGAAATCAATTAAATTCTCATAAAATTGCATACAATACCGTTTTAGGCAACTAAATGGATCACATTAACAGAGACAGCTGATACAGGTTGAGTTCGAGGGATACCCAAGAAATGGGTAAAGGTGTACAGGATATGAGAAAAGGAAAGTGAGACTGAAAAAAACAGGCAAGAAAATTGTTAGTTGGCTTTAGGGGTGATTTCCTAGTTTTTTTGCATTGTACTATATTCAGTATATAATTCACATTAATTCTTGATTCATAGAATTTACTGGGAGTTCTTAAATCTAGTATTGTTTATCTAGAAGCTACAGTGACCGTATAGGTGGGAGGCTGACATTTGTACTTTTGATGCCTATTTGATTCTTCTCTCCACTACCCTGAGAGATGCTGAAATTATTGAAACTGCTATACCATGCTCATGTCCTTAGAGTAGCTAGAACATTATTACTAGTTTGTGAAGTGATAGGAAAGAAACCTCCAACAATTAAGATACATATATATAATTTTCTTTAGCACAGGAAAAAAAAAAAAAGAAAAAAACCCCCAACCCAGTCATTACAGAGTTAACATCTTATTAAACAAACAGAATATTGGCATCCTCAAAAATGGACACAGAGAAATATTAGTACCCAAAGTACTATTGGGCTGCATGAAAAAATGGATTTAGGGCATAAGGGAACAGGTGACTTTCTGGTATTTAAAACTTTCAAAAAAAATCTTGCAGTTCTTTTGCTGATGACTTTCTGAAAAATATTTCAACATGAAATGATACAACAGCAACAAAATGCCCCCAAGAGACTTGCTTCAGAGACAATTAATTCAGTTGTACTCTTTCCATTGACTTTTATGGATTCTAAATCAGGCCTCTAATGATGTTTTTCTTTATCGGTACATTTCACAAATTATCTTTTATTTTCCCATGAGACTTTAGCAAGTAGATACCACAAAACCAAGACTAAGTACTGCTACTCTAAAAATTTCCTGCAAAGTCCCCTCTCAAAGATGAGGTTAAGAAGTCAGCAGTAGACTGGCAATTTTGACATAAACAGCGTGGATTAAAAAAAAAAAAGAAGCCACCAAACCTCAAAAGAATTGTCTAATAAGCCCAATATACAGAAGGAAACTTTGGTCCTGACACACCAATAAAATCTGAGAAATGGAGGAAATTTATTAAAAGCACCCTGTAAATTTAGTGATGGCTATTAAACAGAGAGCTCACAGGCATTTTCCAGCACACTGTAGTTTAAGCCATGCTAGATATGGCAGCCACTGACAGTAACATGACTTGTGGAGATGCTGTTTCACAAGTGAACACTGTCTTCATCTAAATTTCTTGTTACATAAAAAATGTGTTTTGAAAAACTTCCGTACAGTTATCACAAATATAAATACTGATGTTTAAAGAATATATTTTACCCAATAACTTGTAATGTTATTTTATCAGCTTTGTCAACAGAAGATCTAACCAAAATACATACGGGAGGTTCAGATATTTTCAGCAGAAAGAGACAATAATGCTAAATCATTAAGATGGAAATCCATTTCTCTTGCATTTGCTCATGTTAAGTGTTCATAAAGGAAAACACTAAGAAAGCCTGTGAAAAACATGATTGGAAAGAGGAGAACAAATCCAGATGGAGAAGTAATAGAATAAAATGTCACATTCTCTTAATCTAAGGAGAAAATAGCTAATCAAAATACCTGAAAAAAAATAATAAAGAGCAGCGTCTTAGTTACAAAAATACTTTAGTCAATGGAATCTGCTAAACTCCCTTTGTCATATTAGTATTTAGACACAGTATCCTTCAGCTTCTAAATGTTTCATTGAGAGGAGAGGAGCATTCTTCTTTTGTAATTGACTTTTGAGGCTTGGCTTATTAAATGGTTTGGAGAAGTAAACTCAATTTCACATTATGGGAACATGCAAACAAAAATCAATGCTACATAGCTCTCCTTGGAAATTTAAATAAGATGACTATTGACATGAGCAATCTGCTAGAAAACGATGCCTAGATGATGAAGAAAGAAAACGAGAGGAATCAAGGGGACAGACAATGAGATAAAACACTTTGCAAACACAAAAATGGAATAAGGGTTTGGAATTGACCTGCAGCACCAGTACCTATAGAGCTATCACCACATGATAATTGCCAGGCCAACAACGTTCAAATAAATTGGTTGTTTCAAACTGATTTCTTGATGAGGAATATCCATAGAAAAACAGATTTTCTTCTGGTCAATAACAACATTCTTGCTGGTCTTCACACCAGTGCCAACCCAGCGTGACAAGAGACTTACCAGAATCAGAGAATTGTCAACTAATTTAGGTTTTAAGGGACCTCTAGGGGTCATCTGGGCTAACTCTCTAGCTAAAGCAGGGTCAACTTAGATCAGGTTGCTCAGGGGCTTGTCCCATTGAGTCCTGAATATCCACAGGAAGAGATTTCACAGCCTCTGGGCAACCCACTTAATGAAACTGGTTGCAGAAAAAATACCTCCTATGGAAGAACTGTACTCTTCTCCAGAGAAACGTTGATTGAAACCCACAAGTTTCTAGACATGATAATTAATGAAAATTCAAAATGTTCAGTGCAAAGATGGCATTCTTTATAAAACAACATGTTTCTTGTAAGAACTTTTTAAGAATTATTATTCTGATTGAGAAGCACTAACAAGGTGTATTTAGTTTAATTGAACCCTGATCTTCAAAACAGGTTTGTATGGTAGAATTCAGATCACCAGTCTGGGTTACAGATAGTCAATATACAACGAGTTTCAATCATCAGTGCTATTAATCTACTATTTTTCAGAAGCCGTAATTTTTTCCTCCTTCTTCTCTCCACTCCCCAACCCCCTTTTCCAGCTGGAAATCACATTCCATAATTCCTGAAAATATTAGATCAGCATTTGATAATCACAAGTTTCTATAGCCCATATCTCTGTATCACAGGTATTCATTAATTCCCAGACTTTCTGGCTTCACTGACAAATCACATTAGTACCATATCATTGCTGCCAATACAGGCAGTACCATAGGCCCACATATTATAGACTTGCCCTTCTGGCAAGACTACCTTTCTCTTTTACCATTAAATTTATACAGACGTATTTCTAAAGGAAACAAACCAACAACAAACATGCTTAAAAAGTAAGCACCATATTCTTCTCCAGTATCACTATATAAGCAGTGGAAGAGACTAAAGTAGGGGCCATTTATGTAACTCCTAAAGCAAAACCACTTGCTTTGGTGAGTTACAGTCATCAGCTAGGCCAAGGAAAACTTGTAAAGGGCAGGTTCTTATTCTCCTTCTGAAAGTGGGCACAGAGTGGTATTAACTGCTATTTAAGTCCGGGCTACTAAACTCACATGTACTCCTGCAAGCATTCCAACTTCTTTTGATGGCAGAATTTAAATGCATATATTCACTATTGAGCTCACTCTGCTTGTTCTGAAGTTATCATTGTTAGCCTGAATGGAAGCAAAGTTACACTGATATTGAACATCTCTTGAAAAGCCCACATTTTGCTGTATTTGCAGGCTGTCTTCCAGGATCAAGGCTGGAGATCAGTGTCTTTTGTCAAACACCCTCTTGAACATTCTCCTCCAACAAAGACTTCTTTAGATTTGTTATCAGTAATATTGTCAAGTCAGTTTAAGACAAAAACAACTGTAGGACTCACCTTAATACAAGCATTTCTTGAGTCTTAAAGTTAAGAAAGTTGAGAAAACAGATTCACAGCATATAACCTTGAAGAAGGATAAAATTACAGTGTCTCCAATTGAATGGTGTAATTGTTTATTTGCCTGGAGGCTACTAGGCAGGCAACTGCAAAAACCCAATGCTCTCATTTATGTATGCATATCAATAGAGAAAAGAAATCAGAATTTACCATTAATGTTTTTTCCCTATCATCATTTCAGAGAAAAATACTCAATACTGGGGCTCTCTTCACCTTTTAAAGTCTTCCCCATAAGAGTAAAAGGAAATAAATAAGATTTTGAAACAGATCCAGCAACCAAAATTAAACCTTGCCTACTTTAACAAGACCCTG